CCGCCACCGCCACCGCCACCGCCATGCACCGCCACCGCCGCCACCGCCACCGCCACTGCCACTGCCACCGCCACCGCCACCGCCGCCACCACCAACGTCGCCGCAGCACTAGTATGAGTACTTTTCCTGCCCAACACTTGCTTTGGGGTTCATGGTTCTCGGGAAGTATTTCGTTTTCCTGCCCTTCGGTTTCGTGCGTTTTGGGCTTCCGTCCGGCGGCCCCTCCTGGATCTTATTCCCTAACCCATCTTAGGATTGCCCAACCAGAATTCCAGGATTTCCCGGTCCGTTTACCGTAGTGCCGGTACTATTTGCAGGGCTTTGAATCCTTCCAAGCGTAATTTTCGGATTTTGGGTTTCATGACCGACCATCATTGCCTTCTGAGCTTCTTTCCCGCCCTTCGTTTGTTGTTGGATCTTGGGCTTCTCTCCTAGTTTTCAGAGTTTTGGCCTCCGAATGCTGCTTTTCTGGTTCAGGCACCCCATCTTCTCCCAATGCAGTTCCGCCTTTCCCAACGACCATGCTTTCCCTCTTAGCTCGTGGCAACACTCAGTCAAGCACCCAAGCTAGAACGCTGTTGCAGAGTAGGTTGACACTCTTGAGATGTATAGCTGAGGAGCAGTACGGAGCTGTATCGCCGTGTGGCCGCGGAAAGTGGTATGCCCGTTGACAAGCTTGGACAGGTTTCATGCTTCTCTAGTTAGTTCGCACCTTGCCCTGCAGTCAAGTGCGTGCTACCCTCTTGCCGCACAAGGCTTCGATGTAAGTTGATCCTGTTTCACGCAGGACTTGTGATGCTGAACGACAGTGTCACTCTGGCCAAAGATGATCGCCAGGTGGGACGAACCCGTGAAAGGGACGGCTACCCGCGGGGACGCGTCACCAGAAGCTCTGAGATTCGGTGTATGACCGAAACACGTACGTGCCATGGGCCACATGTGTTGATGCACTTTCTCCCCCCCCCACACCCCACTGCGTGTACGGTCCGCGACCGCGCAGATAGAAAAGCAAATGACAACGGCATGCTCTGTGATGCTATTCTGCTGGATAGTTCGCTGAACTTGTCAGTTGCATCCGTGCACGCTGCACTCGCTTTGGCAACAGCTGTAGAGGTGCTTTCGCACGGATTTCGTGCTGGATTCTCCGTCCACCTTGGGATAATGATTTCAGGTGCGAGCCTGCACAATGTCGCGTGATTGTCCTTGCTAGAGTCTCCACACCTGCAGGTATTCTACGCCCCGACCATTTTTGGGACTTCCGCGGTGCCTCCGACGAGGTCTGCGATGCTTATGGTGGGCCCGTTGCTCACCTTCGAGGTGGCGCGAGACGAGCCTGCAAACGAGCCATGCCAGCTACGGCAGAAGTCATGAACTGCAGCATCACCTGTCATGCAAAACCCAAGGAGCTGCAACAAGTGTGGCATCTCCCTCGACGGCCGAGAAGGCTACGTTGAAATCGATCCCTGGGAATGGGCCGGGCCAGTCACGTTTGAGACGCGGGTGCGCTACAACACGTGCCTTAGCGAAGGAACAGTTCCTTTGAGAGATTCTGCCTTTTTCTCGTATGATGGCACTTGGAGTGGCACTGATTTCTGTTTTCGTTGGCTCCTACAGCGTCAAGGTATGCGAATCAAGCAGCTGTCCTTGCGCTTGGCACGCTCCTGGAGGATGGACGAACCAATGATCTGTTTTCCATTATGAGCTACACGATGTCTGTGGTAGCGTGTCTGCACCCGTCATGCACAAACAACAGCGGACGTGATCGCAGCATGAATTCGAGATCGGACAACCACTGTTTGTGGAAGAGCGACGCTTTCAGATGAAATGCCGAAGTTTTTTCGGGATTTAATCTTCAACCCTGCAAGCAGTCAGCTCTGTTGCCGAGGTTCGAGAAAGCCCCTTGCAGCTTTCCAGAGTATTGGCAGACCAGCCCATCTCGCTGGGTGACTGGTTCCATATAGTCGCAACCTCTGAACCTGGTTCTACGATCATGTACATCAACGGGGTGTTGGCTGGAAGCGTCGCGGAAGGACTGTCAAGACACACGGGCGGATTCCGAAACATAGCGGTGCTAAAGTGAAGTCAGGCATTTCGGAGTCTTCCAAAGTATTCAGGGGCAATGGCATTGGTGAGGCTTAATCCTTCCGAGCAACGCACCTCAGGGCTGAGCTGTTGGGGTTTCGTGAAGGTGTTGGTGTCTGTACAGCAGTGGCTGCAGCTCAATGCAGGAGTGAGAGCAAAGAGACTGCTGCGTAATGCATTCCTTGGCCGCTCCGTGATCTCGGAGAACTTTATGGACCAGCTGTTAAGCTGCTTTTGCAGTTTGGGGCTATCTGCGCCGGTTCTTCGGTCAGGTTTATTGCAATAGTTGCGTGTTAGAAGCGAAGCAAGTGCGACTTGACTGCGGCAGGATGGCACGATTTCGCACGTCCGGATCTGGCACGGGACCGCTTTGCCGCCCGACATGGTTGAATTGCTCTACCAGGAATCGCTGCTCCAATGCTGAGCCGCTGCAACTCGTTCATCTTGTTCCGCGTATTGTGTTAACGTGTCCCTGTGGAGAAAGTAGTCGGCCAAAGGTTTGCCGAAGCACCACTTGCAGACCCCAAACTGGGTGATGCCCAGCTGCGTCTTACGAAAGACTTCGGGCCCAAGTTTGTGTAGGGCCGGGAGTAAAGCTGAGCATAGCATGAATCTTTTCAGAGGTCGCTACAAAGATTTCTGGTTGTACAGGGTGGGTTTCCAATTTTTTTTGCTTCTGTCGTATGCGGAAGTGGGACTGCATCTAGTGCTTCCCATTTCAAGCTTTGTCTGCAGCTATTCTGGCAAGCAGTTTCCCTGAAGTTCTCATGAACGAAAGTTAGGAACATGGCTGCTCAGCAGAAAAAGCTGCATCGCTCACGGCCTGAGGATCTTTATTCTTCTTTAGTCTTTTGTCTTGCCTGAAGCTGTCCACTCTGAACATGGTGAGTAGGTCAGTAGGTCAGAGGCTGTCGGACAACGCAGCAGCGCAACTGAGCATGACTGGCTCGACACGGCTTTCTGCGTATGCGTGGCTCTTGCAGTAGTCGGATAGCGCCTTGCGCTGCTCAGATGTGGTTCTGCAGGAGCCAAGTTGATAGACTCTCTGATTGAAATTGTAACATTTGTGCCGACAGTGGAGTCAGATCGGACAGGCGCCCTGCCCAGCGCCGCTTCACAACCATTCGAGGCAGCCGTAGCACACAATGAGTTCAACATTGGTACAGTATCGGGTATTTGATTGCAAGGACTTGTGGCGACGGCTTGGAGAGGTTTTGTTCGTGTCTGTGTATGTATTATATGAAGATATACAGTGTGGTGTATACTTACTTATAGGTATATATCGGTTTCCTGCTTGTTTGTCTGCGTGTATGTGCCACGCAGGGGTTGAGTTTAGGGTTTAAGGCCTCGAAGCCGAATGTCCGAAACTGCATAGGACTTTGCGGTGGATGTGGGCATGTGTTGTTTTAGGAATCTGTGCCGTGGTGTTTGTTCCGCTCTAGGGTTCTGGAGGGAAGCTCGAGCTCTTGCTGTTTGCGCTGCGGCCTCGGACTGTTCTGCTGCACGCCGAGAGTGGGGAAGCGGCTTCTTCAAAAGGCAACTGCCACGCTGGGTGTGTCAGCCTTCTGCTGCTTGTGCACTGTTGGGCTTGTTGGTTTCAGCTCACCATGCGGTCTTGCCAGGCACATCTACGCGCCTGCATCATTCAGGTGCATGCCGAGCTCTCAGGAGGAGTCAGAAGCTGACTTGTGTTTCGCGGACAGGTCTCCTTCATTTTCTGGTGTTGGGCTCAGTGGGGATGTCCAAGCCGCTCGGCATCCTCGGCATGTCAGATTGCAACCGAGGGCTCTCGCCCTTCAGGCAGGCAGAGCAATCCGGGTTGTCGGTTGGAGGGTGAGGTAACCGAGGTTTCGTGCGGTATAGAAATCTAGAAGCTGCGGGGACAACACAATCAGGGTTCTATATACTTTTGGGACAGTATATGAAGTCTCTGCCGAAGCTGACCCAGTCCTACAGACGTTGATGTAGTATTGGAGGCTTGCCAGGAGCTGCGCCACCAGACGGATGGCGGAAGCTGAAACTTCTGCTGGCAAAGGCAGCAGTGGATGAGATCCTGTTTCTGCTTCGAAGATGTCCATGGATCTGTTGATGCCCGTTCCGGCAGCATTGAGCTCAAGCTACGCAAGCAAACCAGGTGCTCCGCCAAAGTTTTCCATCTTCTCCCTGTGACCCATCAAAATCTGCAGAGCACTCGGCAGTACAAAGGTGAGCTAACTGTGGCAGCTGAGTTTCGAGAGTCCTTGGGACATGATACCCCGAGTATAAACGTGATGTAGAGAGCCGCAGAAGCACCATGGCGACGGTGTCCTTCCCCTATGCAACGCTTTGCGTCCAGGGCATCAAGGCACACTGGCTGAAACACACTTCTCTGTTGCAGGAACCCCGTTCTGTGTGTGCATGTGTGCAACCCTGATAGCAAAATGAGTCTTCTCTTTTGAGTGCAAGGGGATTGCACAGGCCTGTGGAGTTCAATATAAAAAGGGTCTTTGTAGTGTCCTGACAATATCACCCGGGATGCCTGGTGACGTTGTTGCGTTCCGTCTGCAAGTGATATGGCACGGGGCCAAACCAAGAACCCCAAAACCCAAACCTGTGAGCCAACGCTTTCTTAGTGTTGTCTGCAAGGTGGCGATGGGGAGCTTCCAATTGTCATTGTGTGTGTGTGTGTGCGTGTGTGCAGGATGGGGTCACCAGTGAGGCACTGGAAGCTCAGTTTGAGCACTACGGGCGAGCCTGGGGCTGAGCCACGTTGAGACTCTTTGTGTCCAGTGTCCAGTGTCCGTTGTTTTGGAGAGGTGCGCAATGTTAACCTGGCGCAGAACAAGAACATGAAGGGGGTTCACTGCTGCATCCCCAGCAGAGAGCTGTGATCACAGCCAGTGCAGGTTCCTGACACGCGCATTGCGCTGGTGGAATTTGCCCGCCGGGACGACGCGCGGAGGGCAATGCAGGCCATGCTGAGACGGCCGCAGCAGCTCAATAGGTGCCTCCTTTGAGATGTTTTCAGGGACCTGCATTCGTCGTTGATATTTCGGCTTCATCGTCCTCGCACAAACAGAATGCAGTCTGGCAAACTGGAGCCGCATGCTAAATGGTATTCGTAGTAACATGCAAAACAGGAGCTCAATGGGCGCAATGTGCAGGGCAAATGCGTGATGATCAGGACTGCCTCATGGTGCAAAAGCAACGGAAAACCTTAGTCTCTTCAATGGCAGGTTTGCGAGGAGTTCACCGGGAATGCGATCAGCTGCGCCAGCTGTGCGCCGTAGTGTGCCAGCGTGCAGCCAAGACATGCCCAAGTGTTGCTTCGGGTCAAGGCGAAGGTTTTGTGTGAACATGCTCAGGAGTTGATTCCGCAGACCGCCAGCCACGAGCGTCTACTTGCAGCCAAGCGTGGACCACAGAGCCACCAGATGTTAGTTGGAGCTGGCTATCCTTGTGCATGATGCCGGTCGAGGTTCCGGCCAGCCGACAGGACATGGGCATTGGCGGCATTGTGGTATCAAAGGATGTGCGGGTTGTCGGCGAATCTCGGCTCGTGGCTAGAACATGATTGGGTGTTGTTCTCTGCGATAACTTCCGGCTCATTGGGTACAGGAGCTGCAGCCGGAGCGGCAGCCGGAACCGTAGCCGCAGCCGCACCCCCCGCTACAAAAGTCGTGCAAGAGGCGAACCGTGTAGAGTTTCAGCCGTGTGATGCTGCGACAACAGTTCTGACCTAAGACAGACATCAACGAATCCCTGCTGTTTAAGAACGGAGCTGCTTCATGCACTTATGCCAAAAGGAATCAACGGCTGAGACAAGTTCTGTCCAAGCTCAACTCCAGCATGGCGGATGCTGCCAGCGAGACAGCCATTTTGTTACGGAATCGGCACCTTGCAGGCAAGAAAAGCAAGAGTAACGTCGGGTGCTTAGCAGCCATCGGGATATCCGGACTTACAAAGCTCAACTTCTCCAGTGCATTCGTGCGTTCGTGTGCAGGTAGATAAAGGGCGAAGCAGAAGCCGCCGCAGAAGGAGAGCCTCTAGAGTGTGAAAGTTTAGATGCTCAGATATGCTCAGACAACGACGTGACGTTCACAACGTTTCAACGGCTCCGTGTTGGCGAGACGCAGGAGTCGCAGCCCGGTGCGGCGAAAGCGCAGCGCGAGTCCCCGAAGCCCCCGAAGGCCGCCGAGCCGCAGCGCCAGCCGCTGGCGGCCGGAGGAGTTCAGCTCCCCGGAGCCCGCCCGGACCTCCGCTCGAGGCCGCCTGGCAGAGATGGGGGGCCTTTTCTTCTCTGCGCTTCAGCCAGGCTCAAAGCGACGCCGCACCGAGAGTCGTAGCCGAAGTCGAAAGCGGCGCTGAGATTCTCTCCTAGATGCTGATTTGGGACGGAGCCGACTTTGTTGGAAGACATGAAGACACGGTCTTTACCACGAATCTCCGGGAAACCGCTTTGCTAGGATGTCAGTCTCCACAGTTTCACCACGAGCAAGACTCATGAGCACCGTTTGAAAAGCGCTGGGCTAGATTACACCGGCTCCTTTGCATCCACCCATGTTCTCCCTCGACCCCGGCATGTTCCAGGACAGACGAAGCTCCGGAAGCATTTTTTCGGGGATATCTACCGACAAGGTGCGGGCTGTCAAGCGGCTAAGTCCAATTCAATTCGGCAGAAGAACGTGTGCCCTGAAAGGGCTGGTCGCAGTCGACGTCTTCTGCCCCAGCTCCAGGAAACTATGTTCCTCTTCACCCTGAGCTCTTCGAGAATCCTCGAGAGAACTTGAAGAGGCAAGCCGTGGTTCCGTCGTGCTTGCCTTGGCCTGTGCTTCTGAAGGTGGCTGGCGCCTAGCTTTATAGCTGCCGTCTCGGCGGGAGGCGGTCTAAAGGAGGCATGCCAGCGCAAAAGCGCACGTTGTGTCGGAGGGGCCCTCCTCTTCTGGAGCTGATGCTGTGAGGCGCTGCGAGAAGATGCTCCCGGCATCTATTCCTTTGAGCTTTTCAACTCAGAGTCGGTCCGGCATGCAGCAAAAGTAGCAGGCTGATGCAGGCTGCTACATATGGTTCAGTCTGGTGATTTGCACGCAGCTCAGCCAGGTTCTGCGAAAAGCTGCTGGAGGTGTGGCTGCTTTGGGGCGATATCGTGACTGCCACACAAGTGTCCCCCAGAAGCTTCTGGATGTGTCTGTGCTGCTTGTTCTGCCCTCCTCTCTATCCAAGACCTGCAAATTCTCATATTTCCAAAGCATGCCTCTCCACATTGCATCGTGCCGGAAGCCGAGAGCACGTCTCTCAAGATGGGATGCAACTTGCCTTGTGTAGGACGTCTGTTGTTTCAATGGACGGGCTGCTGATGCGGACAAGTGTGTTGAGAGTCGTGTTGAAGCAACTTCGCTGTGTAAAAGAGAACATGCAGTTGCAGTCGGTACCAATCGAAACGTGCATCATCTGAGGGTCAGGGTCGGATGCCCTTTTTGTTGCTGTCGCCTGCTGCGCAGGAAGTCACCCATGCTCAGCAGACCGCCCGCGAGGCCTTTCACGACAGGATGTCTGAATGCAAGACCATGCGAAGCTTGCCTCGGGGTGGTCCGGGTCGGACCCGCATGCAGGCATTGGATCGGCCTAACGGCATGAACAGGTGCCCGACCCGGTGTGTTGATGTTGATGTAACACCCAACTTCTCATGACGAATCTGCCAGGTATGGAGTGGTTCTCAATCAACTCGGTGCGGGCCTCGAAGGCGAACAGGCAATCGGCACAGCACTCATGGTGATGCTTGTCATGGCAAAACAGCCATGGAGCTGCAGATCGATCTCATTTGCTCGATGCTCCTGCGAGAGAAATGAACCGAGACCGAGGTTTGGAGCCACTCATCACTGAGCTTCAGCAGGACAAGACCTGCATTGTTCAGTAGGCCCGTTGATGCCCGTCTTGCAGTCGTGACCACGCAGTAGATGTAGTAAAACACACGCGTGTGAGCACTCCTCCTAAAGCTTTTTACCTACCCTCTCCGTGCCAAGTTTTCCGTGGCGGTCAGACTTTAGCAGGCCGGTGCTGATATGCGCACCCGGTGCCGTCTTTAGGTCCTGAACCTGCTTGCCGAACGCTTCCTACCAAACGACGAACCGTCCATACCTTCCAGTGTCTAGAGCTACAGACTGCGGCGGTTGTTGACAAATCGCCCCTGAAAGGAGTATCTCATGCCGCTGATGATGGCATTGTATCCGCAAGAAGCTGATGGGTGTCGCGATCATCATTGTTTCATCGTGAGGCTGAAGAGGGAGTCATAGTGACCTTCGAAAGATCCCAATATCCTGAAGTCTGAAGGTACAAGGCTGGTGAAGACGTGGGCCTGGACATGCATGAGGATGATGCCGATGTCACCCTCAACGTATGCCTTGGAAGAGTGCACCCGACACGTTTTGCCCATCGATACTGGTGACCATCCTCGGTTTTTTGCATTTGCAGGAGTTTGCTGGAGCAACGTTAACTTTCTGTGGATTGGTCACTGACGCGAATCACCGAAAGATGCAGTACACCTACTCGCACGAGAAGGCGCTCTTCGGATCCTCGGACACTCTCGACTGTATTCTGCCAGAAAAGCTCAGGGCCGCGCGGTCCTTCACCTAGGGCGACAACGTCACGGCGCTGCGGCCCAGATCTACCGAATTTTCGAGCTGACATGTCTTCCTCGTGGCTAAACCACCGCTTCAAGACAGAAGCGTATAGTGGCGAAGGTGCAGATGACATCGAGTCGGGAGAGCGGGTGAATTTCATCCTTTGGTCCGTCAGCGAAAAGTACCGCTCGTCGGAGGTTACCAGTCTTTCGCTTCGCTTGCAGGGTTGCAAGACAGTTGAAGTGGCAAATTCGGCAAGGCCTATCAGAACCACCGGCTGCGAAGCTCCTCGGCGGATCCCCCGGACAGAATGCACGGCACCCAAAAGGGCCATGGCCACGAAAGTGCAGAACCGTTCGTCAGACTTGGCTCGGGCTTCTAAGTTGCTTGTCCTACACGCACGATCGGGACTACACCAAATTCCTTCCTAAGCCAACGAAGGCGCAGGCAGCGATCAGCGCCGTTCTGCTCGCATGTCAAAGCATAAAGACGTTTTTATCCCGATGAGAGCTCCCGATGAGGCCATCTCGCGAGGAGTTATGCTGGACGTGGTGGAGCGAAGACTGGAGGTTTACAACCGACCAGTGTCTGTGGCTTAAATCTGTTCGGCTCCTGATCAGAGAAGCTGGAGCGCTGGAAAGATTGGCTTGCAGTGAGGCTGGACCTCTCTCGGCCCATCGATGAGATCAACTCCGCCCCGCACCCACGTGCTCCTAATGCCAACACCGGCATGCAAAGTGCAGCGGGATTGGTCAGGTGCCTAGCGTTTGTTTGTTCCTGGAGGGTCTGCCTCCGTACAGGCGCCTCAGGATGCAGAGCAATGGCAGAGCAATCTGCAAATTTATCGGCCTTTTCAGCGCAGGCAGCATCAGCTTTTCCAATCCCTCATGGAAATCGCAGAGGAGGCACCAGGAAGGCAATCACACTTCATGGAGATAAGATAGTCTTGGAGGTGCACGACTCTGTTGGCAAGCAGGATGGAGAAGTTGCCTTCTCGGGCTCTACCGATGATGGATGCGTCTCTGCACACACATGTCAGTCCAGTCTAGGTGCCATCCATTCTGTTCTTTGTGGCGGTGCAGCCGTCGGGTGCGGTGCCACAGGCATGGACGAGTGCGAGTGAGTGGTCGCTTGAATTGGTATCTCGAGATGCTCAGGTTCGAGAGCTTTGTGCTGTGACTGCCAGCCCAGCGCTTGCCATCCTGGATGTGGACAAAGAACAGCGCTATCGCTGGGAGTCTGACAAGGAGAATGCACAATGAATGAGCGATGTGCGCTCAACGAGACCTGAAAACCTCCAGAGCATTGAGATCTTTGCATTGGCTGCAGCGTCGGGAGGACTTGGAGGCTCCTGTTCTACGAGACTTTGTTCGCGACTTCCGCGAGGGTAAGCTGAAGGCTGGACACATCACCAGAGGTAGCCATGCAGCATCATGCAGCCCATTAAGTAGAGAGAGAGACTCGCACCCAGGCCGAAGTCATTGGGAGGCCAGACAGCCGCGACGTGTGCAAAGTGCAAGCCAGCTGCTTCGCTGTTTCCTGGGCAGTCCGGAAGCCGAGCCACCTGCTGAGCCCATGGAGGCCATGCCAGTGGAGGCCGACCAGCCTTGAGCATCGTAACCTACATCCAAGTATCGGAGCAGAACAGGGGTTCGGGATGGGATCCTTGCAAGCGTTGCGGCACCTGTGGTACTTACCAACTGGACACTTTGTAAGCATAACGTGCAAATAAGAGACGATGATGATGATAATGATGATGATGACGATGACGATAAGCAGCCGAGTTACTAGTTGATGGAACCGGGATCTGTGCGTGAAAGCTCTAGGCGCCGTCGGGACCTTCCGCCAGCACCTCCTCTACGGGATCTCGGTCACCTACCGAGGCTCCTGTTGATTTGTTGTCGCTTGGTCGCTGCGGGTTTACGTAGGATGGGAAAGCAAAGAGCGACAGAGCGACAGAATTGCCCTGACGAAGGCGCCCAGAACGAGCTGCAATTTGCTGTGATGTGACGACAGACGGACATCCTTGTTGGCACTGAGTGGCCTGAACTTGGGTGGTTGTTGAGGGATTCTCTCGGCGTTCATTGTAGCACCACAGCCGCACGCATACTTTGACGGAAGAATCCCTCACAGCAAGCCAGTTGAGTAGCCTGTACATAGGAGGACAAGATGTTGCTGCAGAGGTCTTTTTCGAATTGAAATCTAGATCTCCAGGCTTGGTATCCTCTGTGCAACAGCACTCCCCAACTCTTGACTGCCAAGGAGGATCTTGTTTAAGAAAGCCTTCTCGCGCTGCTCAGTAGACTTCAGCCAGGTTTCAAGCACTGCCGTTCTCAAAAACCTGCTGCAGCCAGCTCGTCGTCAGGGTAGAGCTGGAACCCATGCTTCGTAAGCCGAATCACGGTTATGCCTTACCCAGTCACAACATTCTGCGCCCTACGAACAGCATGCAGCCCAGAGCGCTCAGCCGGTGAAATCTGCAAGATCTCTTCTTGGACATGCAAAGATTCGGGGCCTGGGGGCTTGCAAGGGTCGGTACTGCACCGGGCAACGAGCAGCGAGGGCTTCAACCTCGCTCGAGCTGATGAAGAATGGAGAATGAACCCTGTGAGCCATGTTGCACGAATCCTTCGATGCTGGCTTCCACGCTCAGGCTCTTCGGCTTCCGTGTGCTGCAGAGATGGTTCAGACGTCAACCCGTTTGGGGTTTAGGTCTGGTGTGGTGCAAATGCCCAGATCAGCATGAGCTTCGAGTGCAGAAACCTTGCAGGATGCCGCGGGTGCGCCTCCAGCACTACGGATCTGTGTTGCCACCTTTGCAAGACCTCTTGCAAGAAGCGCCCGAGAGCTCTGGTTGGGGCAGGGCAATGCGGCCGTATGAGAGGTACAAGCGGTTGCTTTGGAGGCCAGAATTTCCGTCTGACCTGCCACCTGCGCCGTTGCCCAAGTACCACTGCCCATGAGAGGGGACAGGAACGTTTTGCCCTACGCTGCCTAGGCTCCGGCAGAATGCCGCCATCCTTCGCCATGCGGCGCCCGAGGCCCTTCGGCGCTTCCCCGTGTGCCAAGACACATGGAACACGGAAGCCTGGCAGTTTGCAATTGTCAAGTGTGCGACGAGGTCTCCCCGCACAAAGCCGTGTTCACCATACATGCGTCGTTCCCAGATGTTCCCAGTCCTAGGCTCTGTACAACCAACGTGACGTGTTGCTGTCAATGAGACAAGGCTTCCCAGAGAATCTGGGAGATTGCTTTGGATCTATGTGCACGGGGAGCACGCTTCCAAGAGGAATGGAGAGATTGACGAGGATGGCATGTGATGTGATGTTGTACAAGCTGAGGCAGTTAATGACTTAGCTGCCAACATCATCTACAGCGGCGTGGCTCAGATCGCTGCCTTCATCTGGTATTGCAGAGCTTTTGACACTAATTAGGAGCTCTGGCAGCGCTGGACTGCACAGACTGGAACGAGTACAGACGAAGACAGGAGAGCCGCACTGAGCAGTGACCCCGTGTGCAAAGCCGGCTCTGGGCAGGAAGAATTCCGGCAAGACTTGTTCACAGCGTGCTCCAATCTCTTTGAGGTGCATCATGTGCATTCAGGCAGGCTACCGGATAGCGTGTAAGATGGGCACATGACTCCTGGAGTCCGCAGAGGTGCAGAGTGCATCTTCGGAGTCTTAAACGAGACCACGATGAGGCCAGGGCTCCATCAGTCGCCTGCCGGCGGATCGCAGAACTTCATGGCTTCAGGTCCATCTCACCTGTAATGAAGACCCCCAAGCGCCAAAAGCTTCGCGATCTTGTGGTGGACATCATTGAGGCCGGAATCAGCATCAATCTTAAATTGATGGGGAAGGGATGAGGTGTTTGCGGAAGTTCGCCTCAGGAGTGGGTGCTGCTGCACCAGGACTCCTTCAGCCGCATCAATGGTAGCAAGCTCCTGGACGTGGTCGGAACTGTCCCCAGACGGCGAGTGGCAGCTATCCCTTGGCTCTTTCGGTATACTGCTCAGCTTGAAAGTTGCGTTTTCAAGGCCCTGCTGCCTTCATCCAGCTCATTCCACGGTTTGGCATCAGCCCAGACCCTGGACTAAAACTGGCCCGTCGGCCTTGGCCCGTCTCAAGCCAGGCCCGAGAAGCCTCACGCCAGACGATCTGGAGGTGCTCTTCTACCACTTGGCCGAGGCAGGTTTGCCGTCCTCGGTGTCATCCCAGCTCAGAGGTGATGAATCGTTGTTTTACAGGAGGCCCGGGACCTCTTTGGCGTGATCCGCATCGGGCTCTCGTTCTTGCCCGTGGTGCGCCCGACTGAGTAGCTGCAAGACTGGTTTGGGGTTAAGCTGCTTCGAGTTGAAGGATAGGAAAAAGTAGGTCGTGTTGCACAGGAGTCACTGAACGACTCTCTTGGAGGATCCAGCCGCATCCCTGGTTTCTTCAGTTCAAGGGACCCATGAGATCTTCGAACATCCCATTCTGCGTCCGTTCGTAATTCGCCCACAAATTGCGGAACTCGTGGTCGGACGAGATCTCCCCGGGCGCTTCGTATAGGAGCCGTTGCGTGGTGGGTCCTGTTCTGGCGCGCCCCGAGGCTGGTCCCTGAGGAGGGTGCTGAAAGTCATAGAGGGCAGGCAAAGTGCTTGCCTCAGAAATTGAAGCAGAGGGTCTCCAGCAGAAGAGGGCTCCAGGACATGCCATCGCAAGGTGAGCACGGACTTCGATTCTTCCTGGCTCATCTTGAGCCGATCTCCTTGCTCTTGCAGGCTGCTCCAGCCGAAGTGGAAACATGCTGTGTTGAGCACGCACCAGGCGCTCGCAGCTCTACGGGAGCGAGACTTGGACACAGGCCTGCCGCAATCTCAGCTTCGCATAAGTCCAGCATGGCTTTCTCGCGTGTGCTGCGTTGGCACTTGCAGGTCGCGCAACCCCTGGTCCTACTCAACCAGCCTCGTTGTGGAGGCCTTGCACGAAGCGTGCTTCCAAGAAGCGGGGGCAACTCACATGTTCCGGTGCCCTCGGCAGGCCGATGTTCGCTCTGGCAAGCCACTCCTGCCCGCGCCCATCTTGCTGTCGCTTCCATGGAATTCTTAGACCGTCGAACTGAGGCCGAAGCTGCCGCACATCTGGCCGATGCGACCTCCTCCTCTGCTGCCTCCTCCCAGCAAGGCTCCGATCGACGAGGCTCGTGGACTTTGACATGTTATGGGTACTCGGAAGGTTTCGCCCTTGCCGGAGCCATGGTTGAAAGTCATCAGCCTGGAGGACGAAGAGATACCCCGGAAGCAGAGGATGTGGCTGACAGCCAGCTACTGAGCGTTGTCCTGTTCCGAATTCCGGCTGGCTGTGCCCAAACCAAGCTTCCCCTGACACCACAGCATGGTATTTCCAAAGGGGGTTAGCGCTTGCATTCAACCGATCTGAGTTGCTTTTGAAGGATGGGGAGCTGATGCCTTTGTCTATTTCACGCCGACGACCCAAGCCTCTGGCAGGGCTGGTGGTGCACTCAGGTAGCTTCCCGCAATGGTACGTAGCGAGTGGATGCCCTCTGGTTTCGAGAAGTCAGCTGCACTCAGTGACTCACTGGAAGCATTGAACATTTGCAAGATCATGATGTATGTTCCGAAGGCTCCGCCCTCTCGCATGCGCGATACTTCCTGGCCGCAGCTGGCCTTCGATCCGGTGTGGGCTTTGTGGTTTCCCGAACTGCACGCTGCGCTCGGTGTCAGAAGTTCATCAGGTTGATGCCTTGTCCGAGGATTCGGGTGTCCAGCGCCCAGTAGCTCCCAGTAGTCACGACTCTGTTTTCACAGACTCTTTTTGATTTCAGGAGAGGAGCCACGTGAGTGACGTGTTCTCAGTTTTTGAAGGAGCTGGGTGTGGCACTGGGCAGCCGGTCAGTGAAGTGAGGTGAATGCTTACAGCATTTTGGCCGGAGAGGCGGATGAAGATGCCAAGAACCCAGATCTCACGAGCAAGGTGAACCCCATTAGGATTCCCATCATTGCAGGTAACATTAGGCCTCGTAGTAAACAGTAGATTCTGGTCCTTCTCCCAAGTTTGGCATCCTCGCAGGAGTGCCTTCATGACAGGGTTTCATGCACATGAAGCGTACTTGCCGCCGAGCGGTAATCACATACTGGGAGGCTGAACGAATCTTACCAGATCGTGTTGTGATCGCATCTTGTCGAGTTCTGCTTCTCAGGCTTTGCAGTTGTGGGTGCCTGCCTCACGACGTGCTACTGGGTATGGAGCAACGTTGGCCATTGCCGTCCCTTGCAAGGGCGGCGCTGCCCCCGCGCCAAAAGACCGGGCCGGTGGGCTGGTGGAGGAGCGGTCAAAGCATACAAGAAGGTTATTATGTTTGGAGCTCTATTGTATTTTGGGAAGCCAATTCTGTGCTTCCTTGGTCGAATTTGTTGTCTGCTTTTTGTCCTACGCCCTTCGTGCTTTTCTTGTTCTTCGTTTGTTGCTTTCCGTTCCTTTCCTTGCGCTTTTCTGCTTTCTGCCGTCAGCTCAGTTCGCAGCAAGAAGAGCCTCAGTCAGAGTGTGTCATTGCTAGGACTTGTGAAACTTCGAGCAATTCGGAAGCACTGCCCCTCAAAATCGATACCCCCATGTAGTGGTGAGATGTGACCACACGGAGCGCGAAAGGCCGAAGCGTGTAGGACAGGACTTTAGACTGTTGGAGTCGAAGAGGCCAAGATGGCAACCGTCCAGTGACAATGAGACCTCCCTGGCGAATGCGCCCTGCTGTGGAAATAACGTGATTTTAACCGAGAACGCACACCTTGCCACAGCGGGAGCTGCTTGTTAACAGAAAGTAAACAAACACACACACACACACAC